TCTATTTGTTTGTCTATGGCTAAATCCTTAGCACATAACAGTTTGCAAAACGCCAATTTCAGATCGAGTTTTCCTTGTGTCAAACTGCATTTTCTAGGCTAGTCGTAAAAAATATTAAAAAGCATTTTGTCCTGATGTCGTGGCGGATGCGCCAGGCTTCAACTAGTTCGTGCCATAAACTTTGATACAACTGATATCGGAGATGGAGAACTAACCTCTATAAAACCGTCTCAGATTCTGGCAGGACTGTATGATGAGTTATAACTGAAGAATCGGGGGACACAATATATCTATAAGATCGCAGTGATTAACTTCAACTCTCCCATACAATCTATAATCTACAATGGATCATTAATGCCAAATAAATCTTGCTTAATCAATAAAAAACATCATGTTACGACAAAGGTTTAAAAATTAACAAATATACATTGATTATAAGGTAATTCAAAATGATAATGCAACTGAATGAAATGTTCAAAGACAAACGTAATGATTAACCTACTACATATTTCGTTTACACTAACGAATCAAAACAAGGAAATGTGTTTTAGAAAGCTCAAACTATTTTTCGAGTATTAGCCAGCTAATAAAAAATCCCATTTTAGATAGTTATACATGATATATTCGTTGTAATAATTTTATTAATTTAAAAGTAATCTATAGTCAATTAAAAATAAGTTTTTTTTTTTATTTTTATTTGTATTTCATTAAAAAAATACGTCCCAATAACGGAACAGGAAATAAAGGCCTCCATAAAACAACAAATCGGCTGGCTGTGACGCGATTCCAGCGGAAATCTATAAGTGTGCAAGTAAAGAACTTATTGGCCACCTTAAGGCTCTATTCGATGTCATATTAGGACTTTCGCAACACGAATATAGAGAATATATTTAAGAACAAAGGCAGTGCAACAGATTGCGAAAACTACCGGGGAATTTCGCTACTGGCTATCGGAGGAAAAGTTCTCGCAAAAATTATGTCAAACCGCCTTCACCCACATATAGAAAAATCCTCCCAGAATCGCAAACGGGCTTTCGCACTAACCGCGGTACCGTTGATTCCATATTCTCTCTACTCCGTCCGCCAACTACAGGAAAAAGTAAAGGAACAGCAGAGTAAACTTTATGTTGCATTCATCGACCAAAGCCTTCGACTCTGCGTAAACAGAGATATACTTTGGGCAATTATGCAAAAGTTAGGAGTACCCAACAAATTTCTTACAGTGTGTAAAAGTCTCCATAACAACAAGTCGAGAGTGTCGACATATTCATGGCAGCGCTCTCTATTATAGTGGACAGCAAACTGCAGGAGAGAGGATTGGGCATTAGATACAGATACGACGGGGCGGCGCACAGTGTAACGAAAACTAAAATAGTGGGACATTGGCATTTTTCTTCAGTTATCACTATTCTTGCTGAAATTTTTTGACAGAAATTAAATAATACGACTAGGAATTTTTGCTATAGGGCGAAAAGAGTAAAAAACGCATAATGGAAGCTCAAAAAAAATACGAAGTTTTATAAAAGGACTTTACAGGTATATTTTTTTTACCAAGAGTTTATAGCTCTAATGGACCAAAAACGTTATCAAATTACTGTCGAACAATCATTTATCTCCCGCTAATATGTCAAAACTCAATCAACATTCCTAAATATTCAAATAATCAGGGATAAATTAAATAAGACTGCAAAACTCAAAGAGAACGACACAAGTGGCAAATATCTTTTAACAGTATTAAATAATATGATAATATGCGAAAAAAACGTATTCAACTTCAACAAAGGAAACCATAATACACACCTCACAAAAAATTTCGCAATACTTATATTTTTCGTAGTATTTATTCTTGAAACGCTTCAAACATTTTTATGTGAAAAACTTAAATCTAAGATCTGCCTGAGTTATGATATACTTTCCATTCCTTAACAAGTTGCTATTAATGCAAATAACTTTTGAGATTATTGTTAACTAAGAGAATTTAAGACTACTTTGCAGTTTTCCAAATTAATAAGTGATGCGATAATTTATGCGGGGTGTATATTATTCCAAAATAACATAATATGTAAGGCACTTACATAAAACATGCTTAAAAATCATTGTCAATTTCTTCTCCATCCATATATAAGAGCTCTTTCGCTTCCGGAAACAAGTCTACTTTTTTATTTTTAGAGTGCTTTGGTCGCAGATGTGAAAGTAGAGGATCTGAATATATCAATAAGTTGTGCAATATATCTTCAATAGTTTCCTTACGACCACTCTTCCTGGAAAAATTTTGGCGGAACGATCGAAATTCTTTGTTTCTTGATTCAGATGCTTCTTCGGACATTTTGCCGATGGGTATAAATTGAAAACGTTCACAGATATCTGCACTATGAATTAAAAGCATATGAATGCTTGAAGGCATATAATACCAACCGTAAAGGGAAACAAATAGTTCTGCTGTCTCTTTCATGTCACCAAACTACGGTCGAATCAATGGAAAACGTAATTATTGCCGAAGAAATTAATTTTTTTCTTCCAGGTTCAGATCTAGGTGGATCAAATTTATATGTGACAGTATACTAGAAGGTTCACTCTATGATATTTTGTATATATAACCTTGCGCGAATGTAAGCTTTTTTTTGAAAGTCATATCTAATAAACATGTAGAAACTAGACTTGAAAAAAATTGGGACATTTTTTTCAGATTTGTTGTTGGTAAAAGACCTCTCTTTACGGAAAAAATTGTTGGAATTGAACAACACAAGGAAACTTCTGAAAATAATAAATTTCATTGTATGAAATTTTTGTACAGATTTGGTAAATTAAGGAAACCATAACTTTAACCCGCTATAACTCCCCGACTAAGAGGTCAACTCAAGGAATATCTCACATGGTGGAGCTCTGGGATGTCCTTTATCCATCTATATAAAAACTTGATGAATTAAATTTATTGTTTTTTGGGCTAATGTCCCGCGTTTCTCGATTTCGTTACACTCTGCGGCGGTCTGTTCAACATAAAAAGACTCAGGGCAAAAACAAGTATAAAATTTATTACAGTTGAGGGTTGGAACCTTTGGTGTTACACAGCAAAATAAAAACACTAAATCACTACAATACACCAAAACACATTTACTTTTACACTGGACGCGCGTTTCGCTAACCATGTTAGCATCATCAGCAGATGATTATAAACTCATAATAGTTTATAATCATCTACTGATGATGCTAGTATCCATAATATATGATTATAAACTAGTAATAGTTTATAATCATCTGCTGATGATGCTAATATCCATAATATATGATTATAAACTAGTAATAGTTTATAATCATCTGCTGATGATGCTAACACGGTTAGCGAAACGCGCGTCCAGTGTAAAAGTAAAAGTGTTTTGGTGTATTGTGGTGATTTAGTGTTTTTATTTTGATAAAATTTATCACAGAACTTCAATACGCTGATGACTGCGCTCTAGTTGCAAAAACATTACAGCAATTACAGGAAATGCTGAACACATATATCTGGGCATACGAGACTTAGGCCTTAAGCTGAACATCGATAAAACTAAGATCATGCGTGCACAAATTATTATTATTGGTCGGTACACTGCAAGTTTCGTTTTTGTGCTCAATTTCAGAGCAATATGGAAGCGAAACCTGGGTGCCGTACCGCCGACACACGAGCGCATTAAACAAGTTGCAACAGAGACGCCTTAGACCACTGTTAAGAATCAAATGGTACCACCATGTCTCAAACTATCAGTCCTTGAAAAAGCCAGCTGCGAGAGCGCTGAAGCCATTATTACTAAATCCCGCTTAAGATGGGCTGGCCACGTATGCAGAATGCAAGAAAACCGCCTACCGAAATCTCTTCGTTACGGTGAGCTTCTAGAGGGTAAGAGGAAACCGGGTGGACAACTCAAAAGATACAAAGATATTTTCATGAAAACTTAAAGGGGATAAGTATGCAGTATCAGTGGGAGGAAGCAGCGCACAATAGAACGCAATGGAGGAGAATTGCAAACTCAGTTAACAACGACAACCAAAAAGTAAAGAGGCAACAAAGTAATGAGATTTTTGAATGCCCGGAGTGCGGAAGAGAGATAACATCACGTATCGGGCTTTTCAGTCACAGAAAAGCTCATGAAAGAAAACGCCTTGCGTAACCATCTTCTGATGCGTGCCAAATACTCGTCAGCGAGTAATGACAGTAGTAGTAGTACAGATCTTACTACAAAGAGGAAAACATCTCTTCTAAATATTCTAGTGATCCTATTCCTTATTGTGCTTACTTCTTTTCACTTTTGAAGTTTCTATAATGTTCATTACCAATTATTGAAGTTTAAATATGATATTTATTTAGCATAATATTGTTCAATGCATTATTTATATTTTATGATATGTTTTTATAAGCATTTGCATTTTTAATTCAAATTTATTAAATTTGAGTTTAAAGTTAGTTTATGTTGTGTGAATTTTAAGTTACCTATGTTTTTTCTTCGTTTGTGTTCATCTCAGAGGGGGTGCCCATGGGACCCGCCCCCCCCCCCCCTAAAATCTGTAAATTGTGTTAAATATTATGCTTTTGGTTAAAAATGACGTCCTAAGAAGCATAGTCTACATTATTTTTTATTTTGGCCCTTCCCCTCCCTAAAATGAATTCCTGTTTCTGCCCCTGGTTCATCTTTTTTCATTTTTCTCAAAACTGATTATTTAATTATTTGATATTATTTTAATAAATAAATTTTTATCGATTTTGCTTTTCAAAACCATCACTTGCTTGCTGATTGACAAACTGCACCAATTGACAAATTGAGTAAAAATTAACTGGTATTGAAAATGCCGAGAAAGCCGGGAAATTTCGGTTCCTTAGAGGCGTGGTACCGAAATTAATGGTTCCGAAAAATAGCTCCTGTTCCGGAAACCCTAACGGCTAGCCTTGGCAGCAAAAAGTAGAATTTAACTCAAAATAATTTTATTTTACTATTCAAATAGCAATGCAAAACAAAATATCTACTTACGTTCGGAAGTAACTACAGCTAAATCATTAAGGGAACCAGCAGCCCTCACTGGCGCAGTCTCGGTAGGACTCTCCGCCATATGAAAACTCCTCGGCCTCGTCCTGATAGATGATACGCTACTCGCATTCCCAGGTCCTACGGTAATTTGAAGCCTACTTTGCAACCCCTTTTGCTTATCGAAACTACTCGTTGAATATGTCAGACTCGAATTCTGCGAAGTAATGTCTATGGGATCCTGCGGAATGGCCGAGGGCGGCCTTAAAGTCAAGCTCACACTGGTATAACTCCGCGGCGAGGTAGCGGGATCGTTCAGGAAGGGATTGGAGCTCAACCAGGGCTGCGTAGGGGTCAGTTCCACGTTCGCGGTACATTTCGGTTTGGTGGTGGGGCTCTGTACCAATCCCATTTGACAGTTTACGTTCAAGGACAAATTGACTTGAGGGCTAACCGCGTTATTAACTAATGTGTCAGTCGTTTGGGTCGGTGTGGAAACCGTTTCTTTTTTGAGCGGGACGATTGAGGTGGGGGAACTGGTCTTTGAGGGTGTCTTAACGGAAAATCGTTTCGCACCGACGGGTGATCGAGGCGGTTTGTCAGCCAGTACCGGCGAATTGAGTAACTTGTGCACGTCAGGACATTTTCCCGATAATTGGAGCTTTCGTTCTTTGTCGTTCGCGCCCGATGGTTTGATGTTTAGCGTGTTGGGTCGTTTGGCCGTTACGCTGTCTGCGCGTTTCGCTGCGAATTTGTTATCACTGTGCGCGTCACCTTTTTTCACTATATTGTGGTTGTTGTCACTCACACTGTCGTTCATATCGCCGATTCGGAGTCGTTCGAAGTCTCCGCGGCTGCCTTCTGAGTCCGGCGTGGTGGCCTCTTCGAGCTCGATTGGGTGATGTTCCGTTGTGGGGGTTGGGACGAAAGGGGATGTTTCTAGCTGAAAAGTTCAACACAAAATGAGTTTTAAAAATTTACATTCCTAAAAAATCCATATCAATTCGTGTGAGAAAATAAGTTTAGGATAATTAGATTAGTTACTGTAAACTATAATATATTGGATTACGATATTTTGTCGATTTAGAAATATTTGAAAGCATTATATGTATACATGTAAATTTAATAGCTATAGTTAACCACAAATTTAACTTTAGTAAATACAGTATACAATGTTAGCATTTTATTTTGTCACAATTTTAAGGCATTAACTACCTTTTTTTTATTTTTTTACTTTGAGTACATTTATTAAAAAAAAATAATTATAGAATGTATAACTCGATGTTACATTACTAAAAATGGTATACCCTGTCAAATATTACAGTTAATATAAACTTTTTTTTAATGGAACAGCCTATGTACCATATACACATTTACAATGCCTCCTATGTGACACCGATTGCTCGTTTCTACCAGTTAGGAATTGCACTGCAGTAAAATGCACTACAATGTACAGTTCGTCTGCTGGATCTGTGTCTATGAAAGGAATGCGGACAAAAAACATTTAAATAAACAGCAATATATTTTATACGTCGACTTGACGAGTACGTCACCGCAAATCGCTCCGCCCACTCATTTTATTGGCTACTTGCAAATGTGTCGATTTTTTGTTGATGGGACGCGTCGTCTATTTTTTACGAAAAACATCGAGAGAATATCGTTTCCCCTCTCACGGATACCCCGTAGTCACAGAACGGACAGACGTGCTGTAAGTGTGGGATTTTTACCCACTCAAAAACTGCCTTTAGTTTCGTTCTGCCAGTTGAGTGAGGAACCACCGGTAGGTACTACCACAGATTATACAGATTATAAAATTATCGTCAAAAGCATTGTTTTTCGTGGTTCCAATTTTCGGAGTCGCGCACTAGTTAGGTTACTAGTTTGCGCACATAGCACGCCCACTTATGGCCTCTAAAATTGTACACAGCAATCTACCGGCTACTTACTAAGTCTGACCGGCCCAGTTATTACGCTGTTTAAACGCGAGTTGATTTTTGCGCACAGGAAATTTTACTCGTTTGCTCATCGTCATAAAAAACAATTTTCGTACCACGAATTAGGGACAAGATTTTTATCTGTATACATATAGTGTACCTAATCTGTGGTATTACTTCTCACTCTCTGGCCATTGTCTTAGCTGCGTTGCCTGCTCTCCAGTCTGTTCTGCTCTTTTTGTGAGATTACTTTTTTCGCCATATCAGAGATAAGCTTCCAGTGGTCTTCGCTTGACAGCATGAGCCTAAGGAGATATCAGGAATATCATCTTTTCTCCTATTGGCACTTTGCACTTCTGTGGTAGATGGTTTGGTTTAGAAATACCTTTTTTAAAAATAAATTTCTTTGGAAGCATTGGAAAAATGTATGCTCTGCATCATCAAAAGCCCCGCAGTAGACCCATTTCGGTGTACCTTCCAGTTTAAATCTATTGAAGTAGGCTTGAAAACAATCATGTCCAGTGACCAACTCACCATGTTTTCTAAGGTAAGAGACATGAGTTTAATAACTTAAGTGATGTATAAATGCGCTAAAGATATTTAGATTAGTAAAAGTGATTCTCTCATAATCTATGCAATTATATGAAGACTTTGTAGCTTCCAAACCAATTATCTGAAATGTTTATACAAAAACTTGGCTCGACAATAGATCATATTTTTGATCCTCTCTTATATTCATGTAAACACAGATTGCTAATGATGCCAAGTGAATTTTCATGCTACAATTTTTTCTCCATCTCCATATATTTTTTATACACTTACACAATGAATCAGAAACTTGAAAAATTATTCTATATTCTGCATTGTACTGAGATTGAGCTTTTAGGACTTTCTTTTTTCGTCTGGAAGTATATAAAATTCCAGAGATAAAAGTAAAGAAATCTAAACATTTGTTATTTGCTGTCTCTCATCAATCGGCTACAAAAAAGTACCGAAGTACTCACATCTTCATTATACACACTTGCATACAAAATGAACTTTAATTCGTTGCTTTAAAAGTATATTTTTATATTTTATCAGAATTCCAACATAAACACCGTCGTACTGCCAACACGTAGTCCATAGAAGCAAGGGAAGCAGTGCTTCCTCTAAACAAATTAAAAAACATCATCTTCTAAAATGTAATCTAATTTTTGAAATATGGAACAATTAATACGGTTTATATTAAAAATGTTAAAACATTATCTTAACTATCAAGCCCATAACAAATGCGGCCTTGACTTCGACCGAGCAACAGTAGAAAATTCTATAGAATCTGGAGCCAATAAAGTAACTAAAATAAAAGAGTGTTTGAAAGGTTGTCTAACTAGGACATAATGTTGCATAGTTCAGTTAGAGCTCCAAAGCGTCGCCACCTGCTACCTGTCACATGTCATGACAAGATTGACAAGTGACATGACAGCAAATTATTTGTATTTTACTTTGAATTTTGGAATTTCGTCATTATTTTTTGTAGCATATTCGTTGTTTGTTTGTTTTTTGTTTGTGCGTACAGAAATTATGGAGGAAGTTCCGAGGAACCAGAGACCTTATATTATTTCTCTATTATTTGAACTTTATGTTTTGTGCTATGTGTTTGCCGTCATAATGTAATATTTTGTTCAGCCGATGATGTGATTTGCACACGATCCAGGAAAGGGTATCATGCAAAGCAAGTTCGATATATAAAGACATTGTCCATCTCTGAACTCCGTGAACGTAAAACGAACTGACTATAAATTCGCGCCTTCATTTCATTGTGTTGAACATTTGCTACCTCAACTGAACTTCAACTGCTGAGTTTATAAATCTAACTTAAAGGTGAATTTTTTTGATGATGTTTTATTTAAATCTTTATCTGTTATAATAGCATAGATTGCAAACCCTGCGATCTTATATTATGCTGTGTTAGGGGCGTTGTTAAATACGTTTTATACTACTATAGGTTAATCGAGGGATAAACCGCTGGTGTATTTTGGTGTACAAGATGTTGGCATTTTTGGTTTTTTCGTGGTATTATTGGGATTAGTACGAAATTATTTGGCATTACTGTTATTTTTTGGCGTTACTTTGGCATTAGCGTACAGAAATTTGTCAGCGGTTTCCCCTCGAGGTTAATTCAGCATATATGTTTTATATTATCAAATTTAATTTCGCATTTAACTGTAAGCATTTGAAAAGTGTACAATAGTTTATACTTTTCAAATATTCCGTTTTTAAAAATAAATTTTCTTTATATTTTCGGCAGTTTTAATTTCGTAATATTTTTAAAAATATATAAAATTTTATATTCACATTTAAACTGGCCGCCTTTTTCGTGGTAGGCAATGCAGATACCTATTTTACCAATTACGTCATATTTCCATTAGTTCAGTTAGGGCTCAAGGGTGCGCTACTATCGGTCCTGGTTAAACGTGTTGCCTACTTTTGACTATGGAAATGACATCTCTTTTACTTTATATTATCATATCATATGCATCGAGAGGCAATTGAACCTCCCACCGGTCCCCGCCACGGAGTCGCGTGCGGTAAGCGGGCGTGGAAGCTATCATTAGAATAGGTTCTTTGTTGGAATGGTTGTCGGTTATCCGTTTGTTGTGTAATACGTACGTGCGTAGTTCCTCGTGCAATATGGAAGACAATAATATGGACATGGACATGCAAATACCGCCAACTTCGGGTGTCGGGAATAGCGTTGAAAGTGTTGGAGAATTAAAGAAGAGTGTGTGGTGTATGTCCTAATAATAAAGCGATTTTCAACATTAAACTTCGTTTGAACATGAATAAAAATAGGGCAAAACCGCCTATGAAAAATTTAATCACAAAAATGAAAAATTGTATTACACATTTTTATCCCGAAAAACAATAAGAACTTGAATATTATTTAAAAACGAAAAGGATCTCTCGAATAAAACTAGTTTTTTCCAATTTAAACATTTTCCGTAGAGCTGTAAAAGAGACATTATGTCCAAAGTACATTTACAGGCCGTCATAAAAGAAAAAGTCTTTGGCAAAACCAGAATTAAAAAGCCCTTAATAAGCACTTGGAAATTAGTCACAGCCAACACAATGAATTAGTCGATAAAAATAGGCAAATATTAAAAAGACTTATCGATGTCGTTTGTTTTCTCGGACAGATATTCAGCAACAAATAAACTGTAAATTTAACGGTTTAAATGATTTTAAATTCCTCGAGCTCTGCAATTTTGATGCATATAAAGGAAAAACTTTCCAGAAGATGCGTTTAAATCTCTTCTTTTTCATTATGCCAGTTCTTCGACCGAATGTTACTGCGATCTAAACTAAAAGTGGTTTACGAAACTGATGAAATTATTGCAAAAAAATAACGCTAGATAACTAATGCAATTTTTAAAAGACAAGGAGCTAGGAGATGCTTACACCGACAAGTGTCGAAATTGGAGTATTGATAATACCTGCCACAAGCTCATCAGTAGAACGCAATTTTTCAACACTTAAACGTATAAAAAATTTGGTGAGAAATTTAACGGGTCAGGAGAAACTTTCGCAAGTTGTCCATCGAAAATAATCTTCTCCAAAACATGTCGGAGCATCTACGTTTTTATGATGACGTAAGTGACGAATCTGCAAAAAGTGATCAAAGAATCGAATTACATTACAAATAGGTAAGTTTCTAAAAATCTCCTCCCTAACTTAAAATTTCACCGCACGCCTCTGCTTTTTAACACATATATTATTCTTTTTAAACTCAATAACAATGTGCTCCACTCATTATTTTATCGAATTGACAGACAACTCAAATTATATGTTATCTTTTAGTATTAAAATTTCTATTAAATTGCATATTGATTTAAACTACAAGAAACTACCAAACTACTGTATAATTATGCATGAGCCAGAAAGCTGGGGCGGAAAGCAATCACCCCACTTTGCTCCACCGTGGCTTTCCTTCATTTTAAAATCTTAAAGAGGCACAAAATTTATAATCAGCTTTTCCGCATTGAACTAAATAGATTGTTATAGAGTTTGCTGAAAAAATATCGCATAAACTCCTTTCCAATGGGTCGATAATAAAAAAAATGTATTGGTTAGAAATTTTTTGGTATATCCTGTCTAAACACATTAAAAATCAAGCAGAAATACTTTTGCCATACATAAAATTACCTGAAGTGAAGCACGTCCCATCTGATTTTGGTGTATGGCTAGTAGATCGTAGAGATTTTCTTTGGAATTTGAGCTGACATAGGACGTAATACAGGAGGTAAGGATGTGGTCGGGAATGGTAGGGAATTGTGCTTTTAACTCATGGAATATCTGCATGACACGAACGTTGGATGATCTCCGTTTTGTCCCGGCAAACATTACCGGCCATTATGGTGAGTCTGAAACAAGAGAAATCATTCGCTTTAGTATAATTCTTATTAAAAAAAGTTAAATCAATTCATATGTCCTATAGGTATAATAGTAGGTACTTTGAAAATATCGGAATTTAACTTACTCAAATATAGTAAACGCCACGAATGTTTGGGAGTGATTTATTGGTCGCTTATCTGTTCAAGGTCACATAAATCTTAATTGAAGTGCCGTGGTGTTTCAAGTCATATAATAATCAATATATAATCTGTTGTAATTTGTTGTTTTAACTGTCAAAGTCTTGTCAAAACATATATTTGGTTATAAATATAAAATGGAATGCCCCATTGGTCGCACTGCAAGCACAACAATGGACTAACGCACAAAAACGAATCAATCAAAGAAACGCGATATGGTATCGTCTTTGTCAATCACGCTAACATTTTAGAATAAGTAGGAGGAGCGCAGGCAGATGATTAGACCGGGCCTTTAAAAACCTAAGTCTGCGGTAAAATTTACGTTTTTAATGCAAAAACGATAGCGCGCGTGTCGATTCTAACTTCATCAAGCGATGAATCACTCCCAAACATTCGTGGCGTTTACTATACTAAAATACTTTTATTTTTAAGATTAACTATTGAATTGGAAAGTTGTCCGTAAATTTATTTAATACATATCTTAACAATAAAACATCTTCTTGGGCGTTGTACAAATATTATATATATATATATATATATAAGAATTGTATAAATTCATATTGTTACGGATTCCGTGGGTCTACTAATTTAAACTTACGATAAAATACTACAAAGCGAAACTAAACTAAGCTAAGAATATATAAAGAAACGGTAACTAAACGAAAATAAGTTTCATCGGCCACTGGGAACGATTTATGCTTAGTAGTCAGCTAAGTTAGCTGCGTTTTGGTATTGTGTCTCTGCTATCATAGAATTAATCGCTGCGAAAAATTCGCTGGAACCTGTCACGAACTAAAACGAGCGAAACTAACCTACGATTTGAATCTTCGTTCATATATTTTCGTTTAGTTTCGCTCAAGTGGCCGCTGATGCATTTAAAAGTAACTACCCTTAACCCAGTGCGCTTGACCGTGACCGTACATTGAACGGTTTTAGTCGAAGTTGGAACGAAGCTATAGTTATTCCACTTACAGAGTCAAAAATAAAACATACACCTTTAGAACTGTTATGTTTTATAAAAATATCACCTTAAATTAAAATTTATATTTTATAGTTGGCCTTTAGATATATATTTTATCATGTGTGGAAGTTTGGAAAAGTTATTGGATATTATATAACATGCTAAAATACATATTAAAATACAACATAAAATATAGTGACATTTACATCATAACAATATATTTTTAAATTTCGTAGTTTTTGTACAGGCATGACGTCAAAACTACCAAAAATACGTAAGGAACGTAACGAGAATAGAGAGTGGCTCAAATAAAAGTCATAAAAAATATTTAATTATTTATATAAATAAAAGTGAAGTTGTGCTACAAGTATTATCTGACAAACGAATCTAAAACAACGGAAGGAATTCGGGCAAAAAAAGTCGATGGTGTCACGTTTAATTATAGAAAAGCAAAGTTGCTCGATATTACCTAAAAATTGAATATATTTTAGTTCATTTCAGCATATATAATTATATATATGCTAATATGTTGACGTAGTTCTTATTGTAATAATGTATATTTATCTAATTAACTGATTTCGTTCATTCTGCCTATTATAAAAGGTAAAGTATTTCCTTAAGATAACATCTGCTTCGGGTAAGCTGGCAACGCTGACAAAATTCATCATGGCATCCCGGATTCAACCAGTCTGATTGGTCGAGATTCTCGCACGTCTTGTCGCCATTACCCCCAACTTTATGCCTTTCTCTAGGAATAGTAGAAACAGTCACTACTATTGAAAAATCCAGTGGCGGTGTTATTGTATTGTGTTTTATATCTTTAACTTGATTTGTGTTTATTGTAATTAGTACACGCGTTTTAACAAATATTACTATATTTGGCAAATGACTAAACAGAATGTAGGTACATTTAAAGTAAAATAATATTATAAACATTACTGGAAAATATTATAAAAATTCCTGATATATTTTTATGAAACACCGCACGCTCGTGGATATTTTATAAATGAAATCGATCATGATTTTAGAAAATTGCGATCCCCTTGCCGTTGCCTCGTTGTTTCAGATCCGTTTGTCAGACTGTACCTAGTGTTTTAGTATTAGTCTGGAAGCCAGACGAAAATGCTGGAAGTAAGGTACGGTGAATTTTTTTTTTGCGGTTTTAGGTCACTAAGTAGGTCTATTTTAAGAATCCGATTGATGCCACTCTGTCACCCTTGAGCATTTTGAGAAATTCAAGATGGCGCCCAAAAATGTCTATACAAAAAATAAAAAAATATTTTTTTTTAGAAATATAGGCATCTAGCACATCGATTTTAGGGTTTCTAAACTTCTTCCTTCTGAATTTAAATTTTTAGTTAAAAATATTTTTGGGTGCGTTTTGGAGAAGTGGGGGGTGTTTTAAAGGGGTTGGTTTTTATATTTTTTCAATATTAACGTGTCGTACATCGATTTATATGTTTTTATGGATAAGGATCCCGAATTCCAGATCAAAATGGAGGTACAGCAAGTTATTCAATGTTAAAAAAGTAGAACGACGCCGACAGACGGCCCGAAAATAACATAAAACGCGCGGTGCGCCGAGCCCGCGCCGCACAACGACATCATTATTTTAATAAAAAGATAATCATTATAACAAGTGCAATACGTCTTTTTATAGGGTTTCTGGGTGGAGATGACAATTTTGATGGCAAAATATGATTTTTGAATAAATCCTAGAAATATTGATTAATTGGGTCATCTATTGACGCTATAGCTTGAAAAGTTATTTCCTTTTTTGATGCTATAGCTTGAAAAGATAGCGTCAAAATTTAGAGTTAAAAAGTTTACCATTTACTCGAATACCCTTATCTTAATATCTCCATCCTACTGTAAGGGCCAAAAAGTTTTTTTTCAAGCGGTCAACTCAAACTTAAAAATAAAAACCATAAAAGAAATTTAAAGGGCGTAAATATTGTATAATAAAATACAACTAATAATATAAAATAAAAACAATACTAATAGATGGTACGTTACTAACGGTAATAGCGAACTTTGATCTGGGCGCTGCAAATGGACAAATGTTGTATAGCAACAAGTCTTGTATGACCTGGCTACCGAGATGCCCTACCTGCAATTAAAGCAAAAACCTGGTGTGAGCAACAATATTACCAGTTATTATTAAAATAAAGTGAATTTAAAATTAAACAGGTACTTGAATAATTTATTAATAGTCCAACCAAAAAATATAAGTTTAAATAAAATAATAAAATGGCCACACAGGCTAGTCACACAGACTATAAAAAAATATGCCACACAGGCTATCAAATGCCACACAGGCTAAAAAACAAGCCACACAGGCTATCAAAATGCCACACAGGCTAAAAAATACACAAGTTAATAGTCAAACTACACTACGGGGCTAACTACTCTTCAAGGCTAACTACGCTACAGGACTAACTAATCTTCAAGGCTAACTATAGAAAATAATAAAGTAAAATAAAAATAATTCAATCAAGAATAATTTGATAATATTAATACACAAACATACAAAAACTTTTGCTTTGAAATTAGTACTTATTTGCACAATTACACATTGGGATATGTGGGATGGAGATATTTAAGTAAGAGTATTGGACTAGATCGAAGTTCTACAAGTTCGACAAGTGGTCGAATTCGCCACTTCAACCAACCAACCCCTTTAAACCAATATGTATTAAAATAAATTTATTTTTTTAAATAATAAAATTAATTTCTGATTTCATATTTTTATTTGTTCGCGGTGTATGTAACGGCGACAGAGATAAAATCTATTATTAGCCAAGATGATAATAATACAAGTTACGACCTTGTCTCGTCGATTATAAAAACCCTATGAAATATTTTCTGTCGTATATAAAAATTGTATATTTTTAGGTGAGGCGGACGTCACGTTGTATTTATTTAAAAAATGTAAACAACCTCCTGTTTAGAGTTAGGTGGCGACCTACGTAAAGAAATTTTTACGAAACGAGAGAGTTTATTTTTGTCAGAGAGTGTTATAACTGACAGCTTTAACTTTGAATATATTACCTAGGAGTATCGTTCTTGCTCTTGATATTTGCTTGCATCAAATATATGTATCAAGTTTGGTGGGATACGATTTGTAAGTCTTATTTCTGTTGTCAAAAGAATTTTGATTTAGTATATCCGTTCTGGCGCCAACATACTACGATTTATATAAACACATTGAGGTAGCCAATTAATCAGTCAGATGATTTTTATTTTAGATATTCTGGTTTTCACTTTAATTCTTCTTATTTTACGGTGATTTTAGTATTTTGAAGTACAGTAAAGGCTGGCAGGAAGCTGGCAAAGGTTAGTCTTGGGTTGAGATTTCCGTATGTAAGAAGAGTACAATGCGTTTATAATGTACTGAACAAAGAGAGGACAGTAAACACGTTGTCAAGCCAGTGTTGCCAGATGAAAATATGTAATATCCGTATTTCGTTGGTCGAAATATCCGTAGATGAATAAAAAAATCCGTATTTATACAGGGTGAGTCTTGAATAAGTGCAAATATTTTCAGGGATGGTATATTTCGACCCCAGGAACACGTCTATGAGGTTTTTTCACATAAAAATATGATAAAAATAGTATATTTTTTAAAAATTTCATAATCTCTGATATGGTTACGCTTACATAGTCACGATACATAGGGGTGCAAATATAGAAAAAAACGTTAAGAGAAAATACGTTATCGAGATCTACCACCCCTGAAAATAATTGTACTTATTTAAGACACACCTGTATTTTATTGATCATTAATTCATGTTAAACATAAAGTAAATATCAAAAATAAACATCTTAAAAATGACAAAACATTACTACTTCTCAATATCAACGTACTAGC